TTTGAGCTTCCTCTGGTCATGTGCTTTTTAGTGAATTGTCTCTGTAGCCGTCAGGACGTCGTTATGTTTTACATGTCTGTAAAGTTAACCGTCGTTCTAAATCTGTCATCCTCTCTGCCATCACATCACCGAATTCTTCTCAGGTTTTTAACATGTTTTTACTGACTTCATCCTTTCAGCACCACAGATCTTTTATTCTTTTATTTGACTGAGGCTCAGTTTATCCAGTCTGGTTGATGACTAATCCATCTGCTTAACATTGGTTCTCTCCTTTGAGGTCATATTTTATATTTTAGCTCGGTTGTATTTTCAAGTCCTGACAAAAGCAAAGGAAACGTACGGTTTTAACTAAACGGTGTAAAGTTTGTTCACATACAGTAGGCGTGTCTGTCGTTGTGTGTGCGGCATGTTGCGTGTGTAAAACTAAACTAACTTGAGCAAACTACAATAAGGCATCATAAGGTGATGGTGTGACGCTGGTACGAGATGAGAGAGGATGAGAAGATGACTCCCCGATCACCTGAGAGACTGACCACGTCTGCCCGGCTGTGGTGGAACACCGCCCACTAGTGACCTGCAGGGACACAAAACACACACACACACACACACACACAGACAGAAGGGCAAAAACACAAATGGGACGGCTGTGGCTCAGTCAAAGAGTCGGTCGTCTCTCAACCAGAAGGTCGGGGCTTCGATCCCCAGCTCCTGCAGAAACACGTCCGATGTGTCCTTGAGCAAGACACTTAACCCCAAGAAGCCACTGCGTCACCTGGGGCTTATATATGTGTATGAATGGGATCAGTTACTTCTGATGGACTCTTTACACAGCAGCCTCTACCATCAGTGTGTGAATGTGTAGGTGTGACCTGTGGAGTAAAAGCGCTTTGAGTCTTCAGAAGACGAGAAAAGAACTAAACAAGCTTGAGTCCATTTACAATAGCAGGCCCCGCTAGGACGGAGGGCCCTCACAGTATAATCTGTAAAGTAGTTTGAAATGACTTGAATTGAAACGATAAGGTTTGTTCCTTTTGATTTGCTGAGACATGAGTTATGTGGTTTCTGTAGACGTTCAGGTTTGATATCCCCCCCCCCCCTCCTTTTTTCATTGGCCCACCTATTATCATGTGCTCCTCTGTCTGCTCTATATTTACTCTGATTGTATTTAGAGCTTGTTTATTTTTATCTTCACACTGTATCCTCTGCCAGGTTCGGCTTGATAAAGGGCCTCTTGATCTCTGCAGACTCTACATATTAAAAATGTCTCTCCACTGTACGCCGTATAAACGGATACATCCTGGAGACGCTCGGGTAGTCTGCTGAGATGATTGTGCAGTCTCAGGGTTAGTTGGATCTTTTGAAGAGTCCTCGAGCCGCACACCTGTTCATTCACTTCTTTACGACGGTGAAGCGTCAGCTGAAGGCTGAAAATGTAAATGAACCCCCCCCCACCTCCCCCTCCCCCCTCCTCTTCTGCTTCATCAGGCAGCTGTTTTTTTCCCCGGGGACCCGTTCACTTGTATAAAGACACCAGAGGATTTGTTCTGCTCGAGAGGGATTTAGCTCTGTCTATTGGTATTAAAAATAAATCTCTCCTTGTGTCTCTGTTACATTATTACATTTTCCCTGCGAGGCTCACTATCACTTCCCCCGATAACGCCACGCTAACGAGTGGAACGCCCAGAGGACAACGCTCGTTCTCCGCAACATTAGAACCTGACCCAGATGATCGCCGTGTCAGCCACGGGACGAGGAAACAGAGCGCCAACATCCTGCCGCGACGCTCCAGATCCAGCGTTGCACAGATCAGATTACAAGATGTCTTCCAGCAGGTCCACCTCGACCTATTTCCCTGTAGCATGCACGGGGGGACTTTAGGTACTTAAATGACTGAAGATTAAACATGACCCTTGTTCAAAAAACCTCAGCTTGAACCTGAATTCAGCTCCATCAAAAGGATTATCACTCGCTGATAGCAGAATCCAGTTAAAAGAAGGGAGTGTGTGTCCTCAGGCCGGTCTCATTGTCTGCTGGCTTTTAGCCTTTTAAGAGCTCGGTGTGACAGCTTCCTCGGCAGACAGAAATCCATTTAAAACCCCTCGCATGGAGAACAGAGTAAACATTTCCTCTGGTGCCTGTTGGGACATATGACCATTCCCTCTGTATTTCTTTAAAGTCCTGTCAGCCAGATGGCATACATCAGCCATAAACTGGATGTGATTACGAAGGTTTTCATCAGTTTTTATTGCCCTAGATTGTGCTGAGAATAATTACATTCTGTACTCAAGCAACACACAGATGGTTGGTGCGCCGAACCTCCACAGTGAGATTTATTAAAGCTTTAAATCACGCTTTATATTTCTAGAAGCCCGTGGTTTAAATGTCCGCTGAATTCTGATTGTTCATACATATAAATGAAAGTCATTAGGAGCCGGGCTGATGTTTTACCAGATGGGTAAACCTTTTTATAGAGCTGCAATTTGATTAAGCTCCCAAGAGTAAGAAGAGATCATGGACATCGCTCCTGAACAAATGTTTGTAATGAAACTCTAGAAAACTCCACCTTGTGTTTATGGATTTCTGTGGATTATATTTGATTACGTGCCAGCTAAACATCAAGTCCACTCCCCCGTACTGTGAGTATTGTTGTATTTTTCTGTGTTTGTTGCATATTTAATGCTGCTGCAATTAACGCAAGAAACAACACGATTGACAAATGATCAGAATCAGAAAAAGGCTGCATGGTGGTTTCGTGGTTGTCGCTATTGTGTCACAGTGAGGAGGGTCCTGGTTTGAATCCCCGTCTGACAGGAGCCTCTCTGTGAGGAGTCTGCATGTTTTCCCCGTGCATGTGTGGGTTCTCTCTCCGGGTACTCCGGCTTCCTCCTACAGTCCAAAGACATGCACGTTAGGTTAACTGGCGACTCTAAATTGCCCGTAAAGGCAAGTTTATTTATATAGGTGTGAATGTGAGTGTGGCTGGTTGTCTGTCTCTATATATCAGCCCTGTGATTGGCTGGTGGCCTCTCGCCCAATGACAGCTGGGTTCGACTCCAGCGGTAAAGGTAATAGACCGATGGACCAGCACGACAAATTGACCATTTCAGGTGCAAACAAAGACAACAACTTTACAAAAAAGCTCCACAGAAACATATATCAGTCTTCAGAAAATGAGTTGCAGCACCAGGAATCAAAAATCACTTAGCATGATTATAAATTGATGAAAATAAAGTCAGACCTTAAAATTGTCAAGGGATGTTTTCATTACCTTTGCCAGGGAGGTTATCAGAGGGTTTCTGTTCTGCATTGTTTGTTTGTCAGCTGGATGAAGGAAAAACGACGAGCTGATGGGGGGTAAGGGTTAGAGCAGGACTGACGCAAGCACTCGTGTCTCTCCAAGCAGAAAACAATTGTGCCAACCCTCCGCTGCAAATATAGATACAAGAAACAACACATCAGTGACAAAGAAAACAAAACAAGTCTTGTGCAATGCAAGTGTGTTTAAACTGTCGGCAGGGGTCAACATGCAGGCATTTTAGCTCCATATACAAATGCTTCAAATCAAAACAACAGGTTTGAATTAAAGATTCAGTAACCTGGTTCTAACTTATGTACAGCAGGACAACATGTTCACCTGTTTTCAAAACAATCACAGAAATATCAGAAACCTCCATCATCCATCCATTATCCACCCGCTTATCAGAGGCAGCAGGCTAAGCAAGTTGCCCCAGACGTCCCTCTCCGCAGCAGTGTTTTCCAGCTTTTCCTGGGGGATCCCAAGGCGTTCCCAGGCCACCTCTGGGTCTCCTCCCAGTTGGAGGTGCCTGGAAGAACTCCAGAGGGAGGCGAACGAAAGGCATCCTGATGAGATGCAACAAAAGGAAAATCAAACTTCAGCCCACCTTTCAGAGGTGAACATGGGGAGCTCGCTTATGAGGGTGAGCCTGCACTGGGTTAGACTTGGAGGAAGGTTCAAGCCTGGACTATGGAAGAATTCAATTTACTAAAACTGAAATCAAACAACAAACAAATATGCAAGAAAAGCAGACCAAACTCATGAACAGGCAATAACAGCAGACTTCACATTCAAACAAGCACTGGTGGGATCCAATTTTATCCTCTAAATTCCAGCAGATGTGCGTTCGGTCAGTCTCTGCTCTGTTACAGTTTTTACTTAATGTGTGTGCTTCCTCTGGCTCCACTACCCTGCGTCTCAAGTCCATCCCCGCTCAGGCAGCTCCGGAGCCGTCTGCAGCAGATATGCAAGGAAGTTAGGGTGGCGCTGATGGCAACATTTGTAAAAGTGAATCTAACCAAGAACTTCCACCAGACATGTGTGCATTGGGTGTGTTTGGACTCTGCTGAAGTTTAATCAAAGTACATTATTTAGGCTCAGGGTGGCGTCTTACACAAACCCTTTATGGGCACTGTGTTCTACAGCACCTGCTGGTTTCAATTGTTTCCTCCTGTTGGTGGTAAAGTGCCGATAGCCAACAGCATTATTAAATCTGGACATAAAGAGCAATAACACCACCATCTCCCTGCTGCACTAGATTATGGTTTCCTGATGATGACACCAGGAAAAAAATAAAGAATGCAGCTTTGAAATGAGCAGGAATCTAAACTGTGTATTAACGTTTCATGTGGCTCTTAGACAAATTGAACACTGAGGAGTTCTGGTGATCTAACCGGTGTTCTTTTCTTTTTTTTGTTCTGCACCTTGTGATTTACAAAAAAGCAATTTCCTTTTAGTCTGATACTTACCAAAATAGGATTTTTACCAGGAGTCACATTTTCGACTGAGACGTGAGTGTCCCCTAGAAATCCATTTAGAAACAATCTCCTGCTGCACATTCACATAATTCTGTGGTTTTTTTGTTGCTGTTGTTTTTTTTGCCTCTCAGTGATCGAGACCATTTGTGGATGTGTTACGCTGAATGTGTAAAGTGCTCCCAGCAGCCCGGCTCAATGTGTGTCTGTGTTTTCTTTTTCTATCTCAGGTGTCCAGACGGCCCTCGCCCCAGCACCGTGCGACCATGCCAGCTGCCCTGCAAGAAGGACTGTATCATGACCCCTTTTAGCGACTGGACGCCGTGCCCTGTCACCTGTGACGCAGGTACAGTGAAGGAAAAAGATTTGCCTGCAAGGAGACGTAACTTCTCTCTTTGGAGACATACTTCCTCATAAATATCTCTGAAAGGGAATTACATTTGTACTAGGATGTAATTTTGTGCATTTTGTGCCTTTATTGGAGTTTTAAGAACAAATTATTATTTACAAAGACGGCCTGGCAAAAGACAAAAGCCTTTTTTTGGGGAGGTCAATGTTAAAAGGACAAACAGCACAGTTAAAAGATAGCAGCGTACAACATTTCCAAAAGCTATCTGCATTCCAAACATTTCACAGTCACCTGGGCCGCCCGCTTGGAGGACTTGAACCACTGCGCCACCAGCGCCCCTCATTTGTTGATTTTTAAACTATGATCTGGTCAAAGGCCACATCTGTGTGAAGCTTGTTTGTTGTTACTGCTCTGATTATGCCCTGTTAATAATCCAACACATTCAAATCACTGCATCATATAAATAACTTCTCTCAGCACTCCCAGCATGCCTCACTTCAAGCGTCCCTGCACAGAAAGAAGTTTGAGTTTAACCGTGTGGAAAACTACAGAGGTGGGCCGCTCCACACAGAGGCCCACACACACACACACACACACACACACACACACACACACACACTACCACTTCAGATCTGCACTCACATCACATTTCACATAATTAATTTGACAGATTTGCGTGTAAGACAACCTTTTGGGCCGACCTGGCATGCCGAGTCACCCGTAACTACAAGTGTCAGCAAGTGCATGGCGCTGCTGCTGCTGTTGTTGTTGTTGTTGTTGTTGTTGTTGTTTCCGTGCTGTGAAAGAAAAACATTGCTCAGATGAGGTCACCTCTGTCAGGCAGCCGTCGCACAAGCTGTCCAGAAGCTGCACACACACGCACACATTAAACTGATTTACGGCTGCAAATCATTACCGTCCATATTTTGATGACCTCCTCATGTGAACCGGCGACATAAATCACCTCGTTCTGAGTGTGCCGTGCCGCTGGCCGTGCATTTTAATTCATTGGCGTTGATATCTTCACCTTGTGCAGAGAATTACAAACAGCGCCCACACACAGAGGTTTAAAAGCAGAACCATCCAGAGGCTCGTTTCATCTTAATGAACTACTAGAGGGCATCTCCGCACATGTAAATACCATCAATTTAATCGGAGTCATTTCCAAGGTCTAATGGGATTTTTCCAAATCATCGTTGTTGGCTTGATATCAGCCATCAGACGTGCATGTTGTCCTCCGATAGCTGTCCAATTAGATTTGGCGGTACTAGTCTCCAAGTTCATTCTTCAAGGACTATTAGCAGAACCAGCGCAGCTTATCTCGTCGACATGTTCCTCATCACTTTTATTGTCTGTGTCCGTTCAGCCGGCAACGCGATGAAGACGAAGCAGTCGAGGAAACGCCTCGTCATCCAGCAGCCGTCCAACGGAGGACAGGAGTGTCCAGAGGTGCTGGAGGAGGAGCAGGACTGTGAGCTCCCCAAAGTCTGTCCTGGATTCAGGTAAAACTTACTTCAGGTGATACAGTGAGACGGATACCAGAAAGAAGTTTTGTCAAAGTTTTTGCGAGGAGGATGTGGGTACAGGGCAGTGATCCATAGGAGACACAAATACTGGAAATATGGTATAGTTTGAAAAGAGCGTCAACAGCGCCTTTTCTAAAAAGTTAGAAGACTTTCAACTGGTGCACAGAAAAAGGCGGGCTCCAGGCGACCACATGCTGCTGCAGACGCTCTCTCCTCATTGATAACTATTGAACACACAGGGCCTTGGACAAACCTTCTGTTCAATGTTTTGGACATTTCTGCAACATAAATAAAATTAGTGGTTAAGGAAAATTAAAATCACATGGAGATATTTTCCATAAATGGCTAAAGCTCCTGTGAGGAACTCAGGCGTCGTGTTGGTTTTGGCGCCCCCTGTGGACAAAGCGGGACAGCTGTTGTGAACATGCGAGTGAAGACAAAGAATCTCTCCCTTCTTTATTGAAAATGTCTTCAGTGCAGCAATGAATCCGTGCAGTGGGAAATGTTATTAACGTCTGTTTGGGCAGTGTGCTGTTAATTATCTCATCTGATATCGACCCTGCGGCAGAGGGGACGTGTATATAAAATAACTAACATTAAAATAAAAAAAACTTGCAGCTGAAGCTCTGTGCTGTTTTCAGTGTTACCAGATCGGACTATCGTATTTGTACGATAATATTGTACAATGTACGATCAATAATCGCAGAAAAGGTCAAATGTTCAATAATTTAGCAATTTCAATGTCCCTGCAATCAAACATTGTTTGTGATTTGAGAGCGACAAATCACATCAGCACCTCACCAGCATGCCCATCGCTCTGCTGCCAAGCTTTACCTCAGAATCAGAATCAGATTTATTGGCCAGGTATGCTTACACACACAAGGAATTTAACTTCGGTGAACTGTGCTCTCATATGTACAGGTTCAACATTAAATATCAACAATAAACATAATAAGAAAAGACTACTATTTACATGACTAAATATGAAACAGTGCAGTGATGAATAGTGCAAAAAATGCTGAAGTAACATGATAATAATACCTGGCAATCAAATCATATCTGATGCCCTGTTAAAGCACAGCAGAAAAACACACATCAAAACAACTTTAGATGCTACTACCTCCTAGCTACATTAATGTGTGGTGTGCAGGGGAGAGTTTTGCCTTTCAGTGTGGCATTTATGACCCGTCTCATTTAAAAAAAAAATATGTACGATAGTTTTAAGAGAAAAACGATCATTTTAAAGCTGCAGCACGATATTGCTTTTTTTCCATCTGGCTACACTGTCTGTTTTTGATGCTGATGAGGAGGCATCAGTATAAATCCAGTCCCTTCATAAGCAGTGAAAAACTCCTCACAGGAGCTTCACATAAAGAACTTTATCTCCCGTCTTACATAGAGCAGTGACCAGTCAGTGTGACAGTGAACACGATGAAATGTCTTTGTGTTGTTCTTCTCATTTCCAGGTGGAAAACCCACAAGTGGAGGAAGTGCCAGCTGGTCCCGTGGTTTCTCCGACAGAACCACGTGGGTGCTCAGGAGACCTGTGGACCGGGACTTCAAACCAGAGGTACTGAAACCGATCTCTACATCTCTGCTCTCGCTTTGCATCTTAATGGAAGCGTTGCTAATCACCGTGAACTGAATGTTTTTCTCGTTGCGCTGCGTCTGGAGCCCCGCCATGATCCATCAGATGTGCCAAGATTTAGAGAAAAGACCTATTTTACTCAGAGCACAAATCCAATCATCCCACTTTTTTTTTTTTTTTTAAAGAGACGTGACACAAACTGAAGCTGACACCCATAAAAAAAAAACATCAACAACACACTTTTTTCTTTATTTTTCCCGTTTTCTTATTTTTTTATTTTATTATCCTCCTGAGTTTGGGAAGGAAATGTGTTCACAACTCACCGTGTGCCTCTGGAGACTCGTTTGACAGTTTGGATTGTTTCGACGCTTTTTTTTTTTTTTTTTTTCCCACCCCAGGCTCTTGTCATGCAATTTTAATCGAATGTCTCTTGTTGAAATGGAGATGGAAATGCTGCACCTCACCTATAACTTGTGACAGCCAAACTTCCTCTCGGTATGGGCTTCACGCACAGCTGAGAAGTATTTTACAGGAGTTGTGCCTCTCCTCCTTTAAAGCATATTTCCTCTTGCCTTTTTTTTTTTTTTTATAGAGGATGGATGTACCATGTAGTCCTGGGAGGCTTTCATAGAAATTCAATTTCAGGGGGTCACGCAGAATGATCAATTTCATTATGTTCCTGCGCCTATAGAAGGCCATTATTAGTGCTTATATTTCTGTTTCTTCTTCAATAGCTTACAGTAATGGACGGGGGGGAATCAATTTATTCATGAAAATGCTTTATAGGTCCACTTTGGACTTCACTGCACTATTCCTCAGTCTGTGCAGCTTTTCCCCCTGATTTAACACTTTGTGACACCTGATGTGCAGACCTACCTGCTCTCCTTTTCACCTTCTCTGACACCTCTAAACGGCAGAAATCTGTTTGTCATTGACGTTAAGTAAAGACGGCACGCTGTCCCGCCTGCTCTGTGTCCTCCTGTCAGAGTGGTGTGTTCTTTACCTGCACAGAGACCTTTTCTTAAAGGGGAGGGGCAGTCACTGTAGACGCTATAAAACACAGAAGAAGTGCTTGCTGTCTTGCACACACACACACACACACACACACATAGGGACCTGACCTCCCACACCACCAGGCCGAGGCTTTCCAAACCAATAGCAGTGCCCACGGGGGCTCAGCAGAAATGTGCTGAGAGATTGATTTCTCCGTAGGTACAGCCCTGCAGAACGTCTGCATCACATCACGGGGGGGGGGGGCAACACAAGTAATAGGCTTTATTGAAAGAAACAAAGACGGGGATGATGTAAGACAACACAAATTGAGTTGTATGCTCCGAACCGTTTGAGGTGGAAACTCGCTTGTGTCTGCTCTGCTTGCCCCCCCCCCCCTCCCTAAGGTCTAATCTCAATAATGCAGCTACAATATAGCTTTGATTAACTATTTAGACACTCTTAAAATCTATGTGATGTAACCAATGAGGGAAGAAATGTTTGGATCTCTTATTCAAAAGGCAAACCATGCAATTTTGATGTGAATGTTATTCAACGCGTGGCTTTGAAGGAGTTTTCTTAATGTGAGAAAACTACTCATCTGTAACACCACATCACTAGTAGTAGCGCTAAAGTTTTTAGAAGGGGCTGGAAATGGTAAAAATAACCCATTAAAGAAAGGAATAGATAGACATGATGGGTCTGAACGCTCTCAACTAGAGTGATGTGAGGATTAGTTATTTTCAAATTTGACTGTTAAGGATACAAGTTGCTGCTGAATAGCTTAGCTTAGTTTAGCATTCAGACACAGCATGTCAGGTTTGGTTTGAAGGGGAAAAAGGAAGTGACAGGCCTGAGGGCAGGCTGCAAAATTCTGCAGTTCGTCGAGTGTCCAACTGGCGGGTCGGGACCCAAAAGTGGGTGGTGGAGCTGTTTTCAGTGGGTCGCGAAGGTGTGCCTTGAAGAAAAATTGTGTCCAAAGGTCTATGAATCTCTTTTTTATACAAGATTGGTTCAGTTTCTTTCTTCTATCACGCTTTGTACCATCTGAGGTCCAAACTGCACACTTTTATAAAATACAATCTGATTGATTGAAACATGTTAGTAATTTGGGTCGCGATTTTTCATGAAGGAGTCTGTGGTGGGTCCTTGAGGCTCAACCAGTTGAGAACCACTGCACTAGAGGCTGACTCCAAAAGACCTGGAAGTCTACCAGCAGTTAGTTGAATGCATGTAACTTGACTGTTATGTTGGATCTCTACTGATAGCTTGTTGACTGTCAACAGACTCACCATCAAAGTAAAGTGTCACTTTTTTTGATGGTTTCATTGGAAGACAACCATTACTCAATTAATGTTTCACTTTACTGACGTTCATCCATCAGTCTTCTACGTTTGAGTATTTATCACTCTCTGCTGTTAGCCATGAACTTTTCGAGTCCCACAATGGGGATTAATGAGTTGACTTATTTGCATCAGCCGTTAGACGGAGGTAATTATGAGCTGAATAAAAATCCATTGCGTGCAATAATATCCTTACTGTGACAGCCAATCAATCGGCTGAACCAATAAAAAACACATTCACAATGTAATGAGGCCCTTTTTGACCCCTCTTCCTCTCCCCCTCTTCCAGCTGTGTCCTGTCGCCAGCTGGATGGGACGCAGGCCGACATCGGCGAGTGCCTGAAATTCGCCAAGGCCATGCCCGCCATCACTCAGCGCTGTCAGCTCCCCTGCCAGGATGACTGCCAGCTGACCAACTGGTCCAAGTTCTCGTCCTGCACAGCTGACTGTGTGGGGGTCCGCACCAGAAAGAGAGCATTGATAGGTGAGAACAGAGAGCGGCACAGCACACACACAACCAGCTGCTGTTTTTGAACCCCTTTTTTCTGCTGAGCTTTGGTACACTGTAGTTAAAGTGTTGGTGAAGTACAAGGCAATTTAGGGCCTAATGTTGATGGTAACGCTCCAAGACACAAGCAGTAAAAAGAAACAACAGGTCGTAAATCTATTCAGATAGTTCTTGCCAGCTAAATGCTCCAGTGGGATTGAAGCAACAAATCTGAAATAACTCCTTAGTCTTTGTTATCCATCAGGCTGTCCCCAGAGAGACGCCCTGTGCATCGCAGCCATAAAAGCAAAATGACAAACAAGAGAGTGCAATGCATTAAGACACCTGCACAAGAGGTTACCGAGGAGGGAGAAAGTCGACTTTTACCTCCCAGAAAGTGGATTGAAAATCCATTCCCCAAAGAGTGCAAGCACAGAGATCAGACAATATTTAATATCACTTTTAAAAACATAAAGCCTGGAAGCATAACAACGAGCATAGTCCGAAGGTAACACACATAATAACAGTTTTATTTCAGATTAAAAACATGATCACAATAAGCTACAAGCTTCTGTGCTCTGGTGTCGATATGACCTAAAATAAATCTTTGGAGAAGTCTGGAAGTTTGACGTTTTTAAATCAGTGAAAGTTGAAGTGAGAAGTAAAGTGTATGATAATGTGGAGCAGAATGCATACTAGCATACTTTGTTGTAGCCTGTTAGTCACAGCATGTTGCTTTAATGCAATTAGCAGCAAGCAGCTGTGGTCTGATTATGAAACGTTTCCAGAACTTTACTGAAATTATTCAAATGCAAAGAACAAAATCATCGTCATGGAGACTCTAAAAACTGCAGGTTGAAATCCTGTAGGATATTATTTAGAGAGTTATCAAAGGTAAGTCTGCTTATTCTTCATGAGAAAGAGCCACTAATGAAAACGTTTTTTAATGCTCTGTGATCTTTGATTAATGACAGACATGTTGGAAGATAAAAATCGTCGAGCTGGTCTTGTGGACGAGCTCTCCGTTTGAAACCCTGACGCATGTATTAAACATGAACAGAGAGTCGGGGCAGCAACTGTTGAGTCAGCCAGAGTCTTTTTTTTAGGGAGTACACTATCCCAAACGAAGCCTTGACAGTAGCCTTGAGTATGATAAGATGGAAAGCTTCTCTGGCCTCACAGAGACAGAAATCCACCATCACCCTGTGGAGTCACCTCTCCCCCGGCTACTCTGCTCATCTCTGTCCCTCTGCTGATCCTCAGGGAGGAGCAAGAAGAAAGACAAGTGCAAGAACACCCAAATGTACCCTCTGAGTGAGACCCAGTACTGCCCCTGTGACAAGTACAACGCCCAGCCGGTGGGGAACTGGTCAGACTGCATCCTGCCCGAGGCGGACAGAGCGGAGAGCACCCTCGGGCTGAAGGTCCAGGGAGACATCAAGGAGTGTGGACAGGGCTACCGCTACCAGGCCATGGTGTGCTACGACCAGGACAACAGGCTGGTGGAGACGCTACGCTGCAACAGTCACGGTGAGTTCATGCGCGCTGGTGTCTGTCGGTCACTGGAGAGTTTATAGAACAGTTTGGATCAGTAAAAAAATATCTGAACAAATGCATAAACATGCGGGTGGTTAAGTTATTTCTCTCTCTTCAAGGTTTCTGTTTTAGCTCTTCTCAGCATTGAACAGAAACAGGGGCGATTCTAGTCTGTTGGGGCCCTAGGCAAAAATTAATTGGGGGCCCCTCCAACCACCATTAAGTCGGCCAGTGTCCTGACACTCTTCCTCTTTCTTTATCACTCCCAGAAGGATAATTCCTCTTTGTTTTCCTTCAGTGACTTTAATCAACGAGCTATGGTTCTCACAGGATTATTACATGAGAGTGAGTGCTGTCAGATGGGGCTCCATTAGGGAGGTTTCCTACTGTAAGTTTGTCAGCATTCGGGGGTTCCTTATGGGCCTGTGGCGCCAAGTAGTTGCCTGCTTTGCCTGTTGACAAGCATCACCTCTGAACAGAAATTTCAGAGGATATTAAAATTGGCGCTGTACAAATAAAGACTGATTTTGTGATGATCCTGTTATAAATATTGCAGTGAATGTTCTTGAAATTCCAACCTATCCTCTCCTTAATTATTACATTTATACATTATATTTAACTTAGTAAATATTGAGTCTCAAGCTATAAGAGGCGGAGCTTTCACACTGTACTTCTGTGACATTTGACTCATCTTTATTTTTATTTATTCATTTGCAAAGTACACATTTAAAAAGGGAAAAACTAGTGTGCACACATCAGAGCAAAATGTAAACAGGTGCAGGACAACACATTGTATTAAGTGCAGAAAAAGGAGGAAGGTCCACACTGCACTCTGTTCACCTCCAAATGAGGAACTTTATTTCAAACAGGGCATTGTTTTAATCCAAGAGATCTTCCCCGGGCAGATGTGGGAAGAGACAAACCGTTTTTATCTAAAGTGAGGCTAGCAGCAAGAAATCATTATCACCTGTTGATCCAAAAAAAAACTGGGACAGTAAATATAACAACAACAAGAGTGTGAGAGATACCGCAGGAAGCAGAAAAACTGTCAAAATACTGAATTCATTGTTTATTTTTTTTTAAACTTACTATCTGATGAACGTCGCTTTTGATAAGAGTGTCAGCCTGAAGCGAACGCTCTTAAATTACCGCTTGGTCTTCATTCCAACCCTCAGCTGTGGTCATGACCTGTAGTAACCAATAGAATACGATCGCGGATACAAGCAGCCGAAATGAGTTTCCTCCGGAGGGTGTCGGGGCTCAGCCTCAGAGAGAGGATGAGGAGCTCAGACATTCAGGGGGAGCTCGGAGAAGAGACACTACTCCTTTGCATTGAAGAGAGCCAGTTGAGGGGGTCTGGGCATCTGATTAGGATCCTCCTGTACGCCTTCCTTTGGAGGTTTTTCGGGGCGACCCCAGGTAGTCCCAGAATTTGCTGGAGGGGATTATGTATCCTGTCTGATCTGGGAACGCCTCAGAATCCCCCAGGAGGAGCTGGAAAACGTTGCTGGGGAGAGGGAAGTCTGGGTTGACTTAATGCGCTTGCTGCCACCACGACCCGACCTCAGATAAGCAGAAAAAATGGATGGAAAGGTACAAATCAGTGGGATAGTCTCATAGCAGCACAAGGGTTTTTAAAAAAGTCAATCCTGGGGGGAAGACCTCCCAAAACACACCACAATACCAAGGGAACATATATAGACACTAAAACCATCGGTCACAGCAAAAAGTAACTTACTTTTATTTTAGTGAGTACTCATGATGTGGGATCATGGACCAATCACAGAAAAGAATCCATTCAGACATTTGTGTTTAAACTACATAAAGCAAAGATGAATAAATAAATAACCTCTCTCATATCTCATCAACTCGACTCGGTTCTTGAGAAGCTGAAGCTCTCAAATGTATTTGAAATACACCCACAGATCGCTCACGTTACATACAGCAGCAAAACACTTGAGGTCAGAGGAAAACCGTTTTTTTTTCTCCTTTAGTTTGAACAATATTCAGCTCTCTTTTCGAGTTCAGCCTGTGACCTGACGATGGAAGCAGCTCGAAGAGAAGTGTGCAGAGGTACTCGAGCTTGCAGGTGTTGTACATGTTGTACAAATTAGACGTTTTCTCTTCTCCAGCCTTGACCTCTTGATTCCTGGTGAGGAAACATACAGTGGCCAATCAGGACGCTGTAAATGCAAGAAAAAAAGAATAAAGTGTTTGTCCTGTGAAACATTCATCTGAAGTGAAGGATTCTGTTTGTGCACGTATGAAAAGCTCCTCCCATGCAGGCCACAGACTCTCTCTGAATACTGACTCTCACATAAGGAGGCGTTTTTTTTTTTTCCCCAGCACATTCCTGTCAGAATCGTTTGTCTCCTCGTTGTAAGGTCTTATCTTAGATCTGAAATACTTCAAGCGAAGAAAGCCGGGCTCAGAAACTCGTTGTGAAATTGCTGTGAAATAGAATGCAGAGATGTTCAAATGAATACATCAGCGTTGTGCATATATAAACATGGTTTTAGCCTCCTTGTGTGAGTCAGAGAATCAGATACGCGTCACTTAATCTGAGTGTGGGTGTGACACGAGCACGTCGTACGGCTGGGGTTGTGTGTTAGCGTGTGTTTTTTTACACCTATGTGAATGTTTGAGCGTGTATGTGTGTCTTCGTCTTTGAGCGTCGTTGAGCTCAGAAAAAGAAATGTTCCTTAAGGTTCACACAAAACCTAAAAGAACGCTCACGAGGATCAGAGACTCGATCATCCTCTTCTTTCTGTCATACCTCTTTCATTGTCAGTGCCGTCCTCTCCACCTCAGCCAGCTTCACTTTGAATCTTGATAGAGGTGGAGACGAGGTCCTTCCCAGCAGCTCGGCAGCTGACACGATGCCCTCGGCTATGATGACGATCAAGGGAAAACTGTGCCACTGTCCTCTTTTATTCCACAGACGTCAACAGAAGAAAATAGGATCGTCTTCAAAAGTGCTTTAAAAGGGAAGATGTTGAAACTTGTTCTCGATAGAAACATTGATTTATTCAGATTTTGCACGGTTACAACATGGGACAATATAATGATCGCGAACTGTGTGGAGGGACATATCAAAGGAGAAATCCTAAACAAGATTTGAGTTGGAGCTTGATTGCAGGAGAGACTTGAAAAACCATGAAGTGAGTAACATTCATTCTCCAATTCAATTCTACAATTCACTTAGCAGACGCTTTTATCCAAAGCCACGTACATCAGAGAGTAAGTACAACACAAGCAAGGATCTAGAAAAAAGGGAACAATGTCAGTAAGAGCAAACGATCAGCTTTGAGTCCGATTGCACAGAGGCAAAGCACAGCATTGACGGCAGTTCTTGAGAATTCTAATCAGTATAGAAACCATCTTATAAGTCGTCGTTATCAAACAAAACCATCGTCATTACCATCATCATCATCATCAATAATATTGAGACTACCATCATTAAGTTAGTAGGTATTCATGAAAGAGCTGGTTCTTTAGCTTTTTCTTAAAGATGCAAAGGGACTCTGCAGATCGAACATCCAACTGACAAAGTCTTGATTTTATTAGTTTAGAGACCAAGTATCTCATATTGTAGTAGATCGAATCATCCCGGTTTTTAACTGCTTTTCATTCAGACTGCAGGGAAAATAAAGGGAGGTACACATCACACATCCCTGCAGACTGCTTTGGAAAAAGGCTTCTCTAAGGCAAGCCAATAAGATTGTCAGTGACCCATCCCATGTTCTACATACAGAGTATGAACTGCTGCCCTCTGCTAAGAGGTTTAGAGTTCCCTGTTGTAGACTGAACAGGTTTAAAATTAATTCATCCCTTAGTCTGTTAAGCTTGTAAATGATGGCAAATAAGGCAGGTTAGGCACTGGGCTCTGATTTCTCTCTGCCTTTCTTCACTGGTATTTTAAGAAGCTGGGCCCGTATTCACTAACTTTCTGAGAATCCTCTCAGAGAGCTCCTAACTTAGCTGTGTGATAATGTCTAAGTCGTACTTTAAAAGTAAAAAGCCTACAAGATGTTTGAAATCACATGCCTAAATCCCTATTGTGCTGCAGCTTCTTCATATGCTGAGAGTTACATCAGCAGGTAAAGGGTCTTCATCAGTAATTGGATGCTCCTGTGGAGGTAACCAGAGATGTCAGAGATGGATTGAAATGTCTGCACAAATCATTTTTGTCTGTTCGGCCCGACTATGATTCAAAAAGATTCTTCTTCATGTCCTGTTTGAAGAACATTTCTGTTTCCTCCTCAACTTGAAAAACTCTTCATCCTGTTAGAAGTCCTCCTCACTACTGCTCACAGTTTGACACCTGAGGAGCTCTCTTAAGGTCTAGTCCTAACTTTGAGGAGAAATTCTTAGAAAATGCCCTGATTCTAAGAATTTTCTCGGAATTTGTTTCCCTAGAAGCAACTCTTAGTACACTTTCTGACATTATAAATAATCAAGGTTTAATGTTTAATGTGAAGAATGCTGAATGTTGCCTTTTTGTGGGTGCAGCGTGGCCGAGGACCCCCAGATAACTTTCTCACGAAATGAATCATGAATCTGGGTGTCTTATCGTATCCTGTCTATCCTATTGTCCAATCGTATCATATCACACAGCATTATATCATATCTTGTGGCAGTGATCATCAACTGGTGGCCACATCTGTCCCACCATAGCTTACCATCCAGCCCCCCAGAATTTGAATCATCTCAGGTGATTAAACAATAAAAATAAAGATAAAACCACAAGGCTGAAATACTCTCATTAGGTTCATGGGAGAAATTATATTTCCCCTCTGACACCAACTTCACGTCTTATGTGCAAACCTATTTTAAAGTCCGGCCCCCACAGGGTCTGTCAGGAAGAAAGCTGGCCCTTACACAAATGTAGATGACGACTCCTGTCCCTTTGTATCCAATCGCATCGTATCGCATCATATCCTATCCTAAGATATACTATTGTTCTATCCTATCATATCATACTGTTTCCTATC